CAAAATGTATTTTTAGAAACATTATAAAAATGTTACTAAATTATGAGTAAATATTATTAAAATATTTTAACATTTTATTAAATGTAAGATAAAGTCTATCTTGCTAAAGGCTTTTAACATTTTACATATTAATGATGACATTTTTAAAAATATTACCAAGGTGATATTTTGTAATATTTTATTAGCATTTATATTTTATGACTCTCGTCAACAAGTCCTTTAAGATTTAAAATATCTTAAGTTTTATTTTTCCAACAAGAGAAAATATCCCTAGTCACCACTAAATCTAGATTAGATATAAAAGTTAATTTATCTTAAACTAAATGATTTAAAATATTTTTAATTATTTAGAATTTAGTACAACATAGTTCACAGAAATGAGATGTGTTTAAGAATATTAAACTAGTTAAATAATAGCTATAAATATTATAAAATAATTAAACAACATAAATTAGAAACACCTCATTAATTATTTAGAGTTAAAAGTATCATAAATTAAACAAATAGATGAGGTTAGAGACACCTCACTAAATAAATATATATAGATATAACATAAAATAAATAAATATAATAATATAAAAAATTTAAAAGGGATAAAAGTCTCATCCTCTTACCTTAATACTTAAAAGTAGATTTTAAGAGACAAAACGAGCTCTCACGATTGGTATTTCTCTTCTCACAACCCTCTCCTACTTTTGTTCTTCAATTCCTCTCCTCATTCTACACATCTCTTTCTCTATTTATAAGCAACCTTTGTAATCATTACCTAGTTTGTATAATGAATTTTTTTTCCTTTTCATATGGTTCCTAACCATTATTTTCTTACCGATTTTTCTTTACGAGTAGATAAGTTTCACTGTAGGGCTTATCGTGCATACAATGTAATTTTTTTCTCATCATATTAAAATATAATACTGAAAATTTTAAAATATTAAAATTTTAAACTTTGTACTAAAAATTTAAAATATTACAACTAGAAATTTAGTATTATTTTATAAATTCATTTTATTTACTAAAATATTAAAAATAAATTAAAACCAATTATAATAATATAATTAAACATTGTCTAAAAAAATTGAAATATTACAGATTTAGAGTATAACCTCCTTTGTCTCTACTAGTGGGAACCTCCAATGATCTCATATTATGAAGGAAGCTACCCAAATAGTTGATCCACTAGTCACCTTTGACATGTCTCTTACTGAGAAATTAATTTTAATGATGTTTTGTCTTTCTTTATTTATGCTTATGTAACTTTTACTGTTTATCCTTGTGATTTTAATTAATTTTTTTGGGGTGGTTAACCCCTTCAATTCACCCAAAAAATAAAATTTAACTTTCATTAATTTTTCTTTAAAAAAAAACTTAACCCATTTACAAGTTGGTTTAGGTTTTACCGTTTAGGCTAGTTCAATCATAAACTTGATCTACTCCCCACTCATAACATTTATTTCTGATAACATATACTTTTATTTTGAGACTCTATATCTTAAAGCTTTACAGCATTACCTATAAACCAAGTTGAAGGAACTAAATCGTCAAGAATCACTATGTCAGTCCAGTTTGATTGAAATTTATTATCGCCATTGTATAGTAATATTTTTTTATCATTAGAATAAAAAGATAAATGTTCATTGACTTGTTTAATTTCTAGATATCTAGCTGCCATCAAAACTTGATGCATCCGTCACAAACTAAGCTTGCATTGCGCTGTAGTAATATTAATGAGTAATACATTAATAATGCATGGCGCAGACACCATTAACTTTTAATGTGGTAGAAAGGTAAACACCATCACCGTTTATTGATATTTAGAGTCTACTCTCAATAAGTAATGTGGGTCACGTTGCTTGAGAAAAAAATATTAGATGATTTAAAATTTTAATGGTCCCAGTTAAATTTTATATGATATAATGATATATATTATTGAGTGGTATTAATTTTCTTTTATAAATTGTAAATTTTGAATGTGTTAGGAAGACCAAATAGGTTGAAAATAGGGGTGTAAGTTATTCATAAACTATTGAATCAATTTGGCTCGTCAATTACTTCATCAAACTATTTTGTTTATTTGAACAAAAAAAATTTAAGTTTAATGAGATTAAATTTGGTTATTTAAATGAGTTGCCCCAAATTTTAAAAGTTCGATATAAAGGATTTATGGCTATGTTGTATATGATATATCTCTTTTTATAAAAATAGTTTTATATAAACTTTTACATAGTTATTTTTATTAAAAGTATATTTTATTTACTATATTTTTTAGTTAAAATTAAAAAGAAGAGGTGTTGTCTCCTAAAAAAAATAAAATTAATTTTGAACTTTTTTTTTTGTAATAGTCAATAAGATGTGTTTTTATTATTTACTAAATTATAAAAGAATAATGATAAAAAACAAATTAATTCGACATATCACAGGCTTATTAAACACAATTAACTTTTCTATTAGTTTTTAATTACACTATAGTATCAATATAATTATTAAATATTATATTCATAAAATTAAAGAAAAAAAATTCATAAGTTAATTAAGTTATAAGTGACTTAAACAAGCCAAATTCAATTTTTTTTTAATAAATCAAGTTCAAACTTTAGTTAGACTTAATTAAATTTGACTATCGTGTTCTCCTCGTGATAAACTCAATCTTCAACACAAACCCTAAACTTAATTCAATTCGTTTACATCCCTCATTAAAATGTTGGATATATACTATCTAACAATTCTTGATCCCATGAAGGCTATAAATAAAGCCTAATGGTCTCCCTCTTGCTCATCCTAAATCTTCTCTTCTCTTTATCTATTTTGAAAGCTTTCTCTTGATAGTAGTATTATCTTATTTTAAGGAGTGAATTTTACACTGAAGAGTGGTATAATTTCTTTTTTTAGTAAAGTTTTTCTCTATTGTACCTATTGTCTCTTTTTGTTCTTATTTTCTCATCTCTTATTTTAGTTGAATTATTATTTTGTTAATCTGATATCCAACAGTGGTATCATAGTCAATAGTCATTGGTATTATATTATTGTGATATAGTGCCAAAGAAAATTCTCAATATGCTTTGTGGCTGCAATGTTGTTTGACCTACCACATTAGAAAATAGTTATTCTTGTTACTATGTATATAGTGTGGTAGTGTGAAAGTGCAAATTTGGGAAAAAATTTAGCAAAGAAAGACTCGGTGTGTCTATGAGTGATCCACCTCTCTTCCTTGGGAGCTTATCTAGTGTGCACTAATTCATTGTCTACCATCATCACTACAAGAAAAACTCAAATTTCCGACGGATAATTTCCGACGGATTTGGATCCGTCGGAAAAAAAATATTTTCCGACGGAAAATTTCCGGCGGATTAAAATCCGTCAGAAAATCTATATTTCCGACGGAAAATTTCCGATGGAATTATTCCGTCGGAAATTTCCGACGGATCTAATCCGTCGGAAATTTCTGACGGATTTTCTGTCGCAAATTTCCGACGAAATAATTCCGTCGGAAATTTCCGACGAATTTATTCCGTCGGAAATTTCTGACAGATTTTTCTGTCGGAAATGATGTAATAAATATGTTATTCTAGTATGAATGAGTTGTTATTATTATTACCGGTGTAAAAGAGATACTTTCTACCTTTGAATATTTGATTTTTCAAAAAAAAAAAATCAATGATAAAAATTATTGAAGTTAAATATATATAAACAACTTTTAATAATTATTTAAAGTGTAAGAAATTTGAAAAATAAATTTTTTTAAAAAATAAGTAAATATTAAATAAAAAAAGATATGAAAAAGAAAGAATATTTTGAAAGTTAAAAAAAATAAAATAATCAATGAATCAGAATATTAAAAAGACATAACATTTTTATTAATAATATTTAATGTTGTGCTCTTCATTTTTGTTTGGACCTTTCGGTACAAAATTATGTGTCTAGCCCACTGCTTAATTGGGCCTAGGTATATATGTGTTGGCTGATGATAAACACACCTCCATTTTTATATAAATACACTTCTTGTTTTTTTTTTATAAATATATTAAATTTCTAAATTATCGTTAATATTTTTTGGAGCTTATAATTTTTAGATTTGCACCTCTTGTTCTTTATTTTTCCCGCACCTTCCTTTTTCTTTCTTTTTTGGACACCTCCCTTCTTCTTTCTTTTTCACCCCTTTCTACTTCTCTTTTTTGTCACTTTCTTCTACGACCTCTCTATCTCCTCTTCTACCCTTTTCAATTTTTGCAATATCTTCTTCTTTTTTTGTTTTGTTATGAAAAGTACTTTCTAGAATAGATGATATGCTGTTAGATATAGCTTACTATAATTATTGTAATTATATGTTTATATGCTGATTCTTTTCACTAGCTTACCCTTTGTTGTTTCCATGTGGTTTGGACTGCGATGATCATACGTTGTATGAGAGTAGAGCAGGATTAGGTTGGTGTCAAGAAGCAGGTCAACAACTGGCAGATGGAGCTTTTCTTTTTGATGTTTTGTTGTTTTTGGCCACTAGCTTGGCTACTTTGGGCTGTATTTTGTACTCTGATTTCTTTAAGCCCCAGATTTGACCTTGTGTATATATTGTAGCTGCTTATATATATATGCATACTCTTTTCTGTGTGGTGTTATGGTGTTGTGCTGTGTGTAGTGACCAGCTGGGTCGTTACACTTTAGTGGTATCAGAGCAGTTCGAGTCTAGTGGACACTCTGTGGGGGTGGTTCTTTTAGGGTTTTGTTGTGCTGAGCTCTGTGTTGTGTTGTTTTGCTGTGCTGATTTCTTTGTTGATTGTTGTGTTGATGATTGATGTTTGGTTTAGTTATTGTATACTGAAGGTGCTGTTACTTTTGTAGACAATGACTAGAACCAATGAGCAGATAGCCCGTGCCATGGAGATGATGGTTATGGCTATGCAGCAGCAAAATGCCTATTTTGCTAGGATGAATGCTGATAGAGCTGCAGTTGGTGCAGCAAGGCCAGTGGGGTCACAGGAGAGCCGGGATCTAGCTAAGTTCCGAAAATGCCATCCTCCACAGTTTAAGGGAGATGCAGACCTAGAGGTAGGTGACCACTGGATCTGTGAGTTGGAGAAGATTTTTACTGTGCTGGGATGTTCTCAGGAGAGGAGGCTGGCATATGCTGTTTACATGCTGGTTGGAGAGGCTGAGCATTGGTGGAGGGGTACTCACCATATGCTGACTGCTAGAGGAGTTGTTGTTGATTGGGAGTGCTTCAGGAGGGTGTTCCTGGAGAAGTACTTCCCGGAAAGTGTGAGACACGCAAAGAAGGCTGAGTTCATGCGGTTGCACCAAGGTGGGCTGTCTGTTTCTGAGTATGCGATGAGATTCGAGCACCTGACTCGTTTCTATTCGCAAGCTATATCTGAGGCCTGGAAATGCAGGAAATTTGCTGAGGGTTTGAGACAAGAGCTGAAGAGGGTGGTGGTGCCTATGGCCATCACTGAGTTTCTGGCCTTGGTGGAGAAGGCTAAGGTGGTTGAGCGGTTGGAAGGTGGCAACCGTGTGACAAAGACTGTTGAGGGACCAGCTGGGTCCAAGAGGGGAGGAAGTCAGAGGAAGCCATATGATAGGCCCCAACCACAACAAGGGAGTCTTGTCATTAGGCAACCTTCTAATGCTGCCAGAGGTGGGAGACAGGGTGGAGGTGCCACTCTCAGATGCTACAAGTGTGTTGGGCCCCATTTTGTCAGGGATTGTCCACACACGGAGAGCTGGTGTTTCAAGTGTCATCAGATGGGTCATGAGTCGACCAACTGTCCTACCAGAAACAGACCGGAGAGGGGTGCTCAGTTGGGTGCTCAGAGAGGCGATGCTCAGAGGGGTGACAGACCTACTACTGCTGGCAGAGTATTCGCTTTGACTAGGGCTGAGGCTTTGACTTCCTCAAATCTTGTGAAGGGGAAGGGTAAAGCTACTGGTAAGGATGTGATGTTTCTGTTTGATTCTGGAGCTTCCCACTCTTTTATACCCCTTTTGAATCAGTTTCTTAGAATCACGTTAATTTCCTTTAAACCTTTCATAAAATGGCTTCTTCAATCTACGTTATTGTTCATTCTGATGGTTCCATTAACCAATGTCCGAATGAAGGAATCACCTTCTCTTCTCCATCTGCAAAATTAGTTCGTATCAACAGAGGAATTACTCTAGAAAGGCTTCAAAGAGTCATCCACAGAAAGCTACATCGACAAGATTCTGAGAGGGTGGCTTAAAATTAAAAAAAAAATTATAATTTCCGACAGAAATTTCCGTCGGAAATTTCCATGCAAATTTCCGACGGAATTTTCTGTCGGAAATTTCTATGGAATTTTCGACGGAATTTTCCGTCAGAAATTTCTATGGAATTTTCCGACGGATATTTCCGTCGGAAATTTCCGACGGAATTTTCCGACGGAAAATTCCGTCGGAAATTTCTGTCGGAAAAATTTATTTCCGACGGATTTTTTTTTCCGACACCACTTTTTCCGACGGATTGAAATCCGTCGGAAATCCGTCGGAAAAGGAAAAATCCGTCGGAAATTTACCTATTTCCGTCGGAAATTAGCATTTTTCTTGTAGTGCATTGTTCTCGTAGGTGGTACTATTCATGGTGGAAGTTGCAAAAGTTGATTTAGTTGAGAGAAAATAAATATTAAAGAGAAACCTATTATATCCTGCCTAAATAATAGTTTTAATTATGACAAATTCTTAATTTCAAATTTTAGAATAGAAAGAATTATCAATTTTGTGCTAATAAATTTGTTCAAGTGTTTCAAAAATATTCAAATCTGATTAGAAAGCTATATGAGCTCATGGTTCCTTGAAGAATAAAAAAGGATTCACAAGACATCTTTATATAAGAATCAATTATTGTGGATTGTTTGTTGGCACTAAAGACTTGTTTGTCCCAAGTAAGAAAATGAGCATCCCATGTTTCTGATTCAAAAAGATTTAAGTTAAACATTTGTTCTCACAAAAAATGTCTTGAAAACTTGGTTCAGAAGACCAACGCTTTGGTCTATGTATCAAAAGGCTTCAATCAAAACATAGTTTCTTAGAAGACTTGTATTGAAGACTCTATTCAGAAAACTTGAAGTGATGACTTACAAAGAAGGCACCTTATTTGAAGAAAAAAATTGACAGGACTAAAAAAACAAAGTACAATGATGTCAATATTTTCTTAATAAATAAGTAAGCAACAACAGATTTATTTTTGGTGGCTATAAATGGAAGATAAACATATCGTTTTGAAGCAAGTAAGATCAAATAGAGAAATCAATTACACAAGCAATCAAGCTGCAATCCTTGTGACACCCTCTACCTCACATACCATAACACATAATAATAAAATTTGAATAACATAACATTTCATAATTAAAATATCAAACGTGTTCAAATAGAGAGTATCACATCCATAACTTAGCAAAATCAGCAGAAATTACAAAGAAATAAAACTAAAGTTTCCAAAATAATTTAATAAAAACATCTTAATCTAATCCTATCTACGCCCGATGTCACATGTCCTATCAGAGCAAATCCCAATATAGAAACCTAAGCTTCATCACCAACATCTTCAGCCTCATGCTGATAATAACCTGTAAGGTAGACAAGGAAAACAACACAAGAAAAGGGAGTGAGAAACATCTCACTCTGGCTCATAGTGTAAGAATATACACTGGAAAGCCAAACACAAACAAAAAATATATAACACAGATAAATTAATAATAATATCACATCTCACTCATTCAAGACATAAAAATATCAATTTATCATATAACATTAAAATGCACATGGATGGACACAAACTACATTTTATCATGCATGTGGCGCCAGTAACATATCACATGGCATATTGCCATTAGCAATACACGAAGAGTAGTCTAGGAGTACATGGTGGGTCACACCCTCTGCGCACTCTCACTAGAAGGACATACTACCAGAGTCTCATCGGGATAGCTAAGCCGCGCAAGATATATCCCATGCACATAATGGGCGAGACTCGGACTTACAAATCGAGCTATCCCCAATGACTAATCCCTAAAGCTTTTACACTAGGGGGCCTTCACTGGCGGTGTATTCCATATCGTACCCTTAAAAACATTTATGCACATGATGAATGTCAATCAAGACTCTATGCATCCTCATATCACATTATCATGTCTCATTCTCATATCACATAGTCATCATCACATCTCATCATCACATTTCATCACCACATTTCATCATCATATTTCATCACCATATGTCATCATTATATTCACATTTCATTGTCATATCACATTATCACATGTCATTCACAATTTTTACAGAATACTTTAATCCATATTAAAACTTGTCTATTTTCAAAATTAAACACATATTTACACTCCATAAACATCAAGGAACACAACAGAAAACCCAGGAGATAAAACATAAAACATTTAAAATTTTGCCTATTTCTCACAAGGTTTTCACAGGAATCCACAGAGCACTTTAATTCATATCAAAACTTGTTTATTTTCAAAACTAAACATATATTCATTCATCTCATTCAACAAGGAACACAATAGAACAACCAGAAAGCAAAACAGAAAACGTTCACATTTTATCTGTTACAATTACAAATTCATTCCCTTAGGGTTCCCCATAGGAACCCACAGAGATCTCAAAATTATACATTTATATTTAAATAATATTTAAAAATTTGTCTACTTCTCATAGGGTTTCCCGTAGGAACCCACAGAAATCTCAAATCATACAATTACAATTTTAAAACTGAAATTAATCATTCATTCAAGCAATTCATACAATTAATTACATACAAGAGGAACAATAGATGAAACAGATACAATTGGGTAAAACCCCTCATACATGAGCATACAACAAACACAGGATTGGAGGCTAATCCAACTACCCAACATACATTCCCACACCTAGAGCAAGGTTTCTCAGTCCCCCCTTACCACGATAAGTAGGAGTTGAAACCAAAGCAAGACCTTGCTAATCTCCTCCTTTGAGTTCCCCCTTGGTCTTTAGAGAGTATAGAAGAAAAGAGGTCAAAAGTGAAAAAAATGCATTTTTGGAGTGTTAGAACGTTCTATTTATAGGCATCAGATGTGGCTAGAACGACCCGTTTCGAATCCAGAACGGTCCGTTCTGGACTCATTCATCCTACGCAAATTTCATATCCAGAACGGCCCGTTCTCAAACCAGAACGGCCCGTTCTGGGATTACACTTAACCCACAACGTCGACTTCTGGAACGACCCATTCTAGGTTCGCATATTACTTATAAAATCGTGTGTTGGAACGACCCGTTCCAACCTAGTCTTTTTAGGCCATTTTAGTAGTTTGGAACGACCCGTTCCAGTTTGAGAACGGTCCGTTCTAGGCTACTAAAAATCAAAATATTACAAAAATAATTTTCATAAATATTCATTATCAAAAATACTAATAATTATTAAAAACCTTTAAAACATTCTATAAAACCCATTAAAATAACTATAAGAACATAATCTCCGCAAATATAAAATAAATAATAGTTAACTATTTACCAATAGAAAATTCGGGTGTTACAATCCTTACTTCATCTTCTGATATTTTTGGAGATTCCCACTTCATATTCATATATCAGTTTCATAATAGAAAAAAGTGTGGAACCTTCCTTAGTAGAAGCTCCATCATAAGAGAGTTATTTGTGATCTTAACAATCTACAAGAACATAAAAACCCATTATTGTAAACATTGTCCCCACCTAGAAGTGAGTGTGTAATGGTGTAGGTAGAAAGAAATCACAAGTGTTGTCTAGTCCCATAGTAGGTTGTTGTGGGGTTATTTCCTCAACTATTGCTTGGGTGAAGAAATCTCAATAGGTGGTTGAGTGTTTTCTACTAACAGCAGGTGGCTGTGTAGTAGTGATTTATATCAGTAGGTGGATGAGGTTGTTGAACAACAATCAGCTATCACTACTAGAAAAATTAATATTTGTGACGAATT